GCAAAAGGAGGAGAGGGGAGGGAGACCAGTTTTACAAGAGGTCTTGGTCAGGAGAAACCGAAGCAGTTCTATCTTGTATCTTACATGAGATTGGTGACAGCCAAAAGGTTCAGAATGAATAACAAAACACTTAGAAGATTCATTCAAACCATAGTTCACTGTGTCCATTATTTAAAAACTATTGCAGAGGTGATTTCAAGTCTTAAATGGGCAGTCAGGAAAACTGGTAAATGTTAAGAACACCAACCAGTTTATTCCACATTCAAAACAAGTCTATTACAAACAAGTAAGGACATCAAGGGTGAAGGGGAACCAAGGACGTGCGAAAGAGCATCATCTGCTTAAAGATAGTCCTCAAAGTACTGATTTAAAGGAACTATGTTATTTAATGTAAATAATAGTGCACCGAGAATGGACCCCTGTGGCACACCGTCACTCCCGGTAAGATAGCTTTAGACGTATGTGCATGTATATATATATAATGATCCAGAACATTAAGAGTTTGATTTAAAGAGATCGACCTCAACCTATAGAATGTTGTAGGACCTTTTGTTCCAAAAAAACCTTGCACTTAAAGGAGGACAAAGGCATAATAAAGGCATTTTTGGCAAGCCATGGACGTGTTGGATTGTGATTGGAAATACATCAATGGCAAAATGTTTGTGTGTTGTAACAGGAAAAATGACATATTAGTCATTTTTTGATAGCGCCAAACTGTGACTGTGTTTCATCTTCACTACTTCCATGGCTGCATTAAAATACAGCAATGCAAACATTACTGTTACTCCATTTATAACTGAGGTGAAAGTCAGCTAAAGTTGAGTTTATAGACAGCACGGCATCACACCTAAATCCAACGACTGCCATTTATCATGGTTTAGGCGTGCCCTTGCAGCGAGTTAGGACGGGTGGCGCAGTGGTCTGTGCATCCGATCATCAGATCAAGGGGAGTGCTGGGGAACTCCAGTTCGAAACCCGCTCCTGCCGCCACTGCATCAGGCCGTTGTGTCCTTGGGCAAGACACTTCACCCGGATTTGCTCCTGTGGGTATTGTCCACAGTACATGTATGATATTAATGTGTACTTGTAAAAGCGCCTCGATGTCTTCGAGGCGTGAAGATGGACGGTGTGGCGCAGTGCGCTGTGCAATGATCATCAGATCAAGGGGTGAAACCCGCCGCTGCTGCGTCTGTAAAGCCGGTGTGTCCTTGGGCAAGACACTTCACCTGAACTTGCTCCTGTGGGTATTGTCCACAGTATCTGACCATTGCATGTATGTGTATGTGTAATGTGTGTATATGTAAAGTGCTTTGAGTCATTGAAAAAGCGCTATAATAAATGTAAGGAATTATTATTATTAGTAATGGTTCTTACTGATGTCATGTGGTTTCTAGTCAGTGCAATACATGTAGCTTGCACCCGTTATGCTACCATGCAATTAGTGGTAAAAATGAGCGCTGGAATTGCTGAAGGAAGATAGGGTGATGCGATAAATGTACATTAATTTGATTAAACAGGCTAAGGTTTCCAGATTAATAAAAAAAATACGCTCTGCACCTTAAAAATAACCTAAATAATGACATGCCGAGCCCATCCTTCGTCACCTACGCATTACTAGAATTAGAAAGGTGTAGATAGAGGAATGGATAGATTGAGAGAAGAGAGAGAGGGATGGATTTAGTTGCTGAAATAGAGGAGGAGAGAGAGGGAAAGGGGAAAGACAGGTCCAAAAATAAAGGCAGGAAGAGCGCTAATGAGTACAAGTACACTCAGGTTTGCTTAGTTGCTGTGACAACGTGCCGGCTCATTGCTTCCAGCCACACGAGTGCATATCCAATGAATAACGCACACGTACACACAGTTGAGAGTAAAGAAAACAGTTCCCTTCAAGCTGAATCCTTCAATAGGTTCACAGGCGTCCAACAACCATCAAAACACAGTTTATTGAGAACAAAAATGGAATCAGTCCATATGTCTGCATGTGCCTCTTTTTTAAAAACTATCAAATAGGTATGCCAACAAAAGAAAAGCAGCCAAAGCTTTTAACTAAATCAATCAGGACCAAAGTGCTGAGACTGTGCCAGTTGGAGCGATCTGAATACATTTAGCAAAGGAAGAACCAGCGCTGGAGAAATGTGTAAAAAAGCTTTACAATGCAGCAGATCCTCCTGCATCACGACCTCAGGCGTTCCCGCTGACAGGCACAGTCAGCAGACTCGAAATATAGATCATAAATTGTGTTCATGAAGTTTATAAACTGTGAGAAGATGTATGAGTTTGAATACATGTAAGAAAAAGTCAAATGTCCCTTGAGGCACTTGGCAGGGATGTCCTTTCTTTCCGTTTTTCTCGCGTCACTAGAAACTACTGATCGTCAATCACCCCAAACATTAGACAAAATTATGATATATAAATACTGTGAGATTACTTCTGAGACCTTATTTAGCTTACCTTACGATACCACCTCTTCTGAAATAGATATCTGTGGTTGTATGAGGGCTTTGGAGGCATTGATGCAAATCAGTGGGCAGGATTTATAGATTGTTTTTAATCAGTGTGATTAAAGGGGTCCTTTTTTGGTAATGTTCAGGTTCATATCAGTATAGTGTCTCTACTGGGACATGTCTCCATGCTCTAATATTCAAAAAGCTCTTTATTGTTCTCATACAGCCTGTGCTGCAGCACCTCTTTTCACCCTCTGTCTGAAACCAGAGCCCAGTCTGCTCTGATTGGTTAGCTGGCCGGCTATGATGTGATTGGTTAACCGTTTAGAGATGTCCCGCCCCCTTAGTCTACCATGTACAATGTGTTAGCCAATAGAAGTGTGAGTGTAACATTGTGATGTCACTATGCTACAGCAGTAAAGGAAAGGAGTCTTTGCAGATCATTTACATGCACAAAAACCTATATAACACAACCCAAAAAAGCGTAATAGGGCCCCTTTTAGTACATCAATATTAAAGTTCTTAAATGTTTTTGATAAGCCAAAAACAAGTATACTTCTTTGGTTTATCATCAGCTGATTTGAACTCTCTGGGTACTTCGAATTGTATTTGTGGTAAATAATTGAAAGGTCACCTATGATGCAAAGTCCAGTTTTCAGGTCTTCTATATATGTGTCCCCTCTGTGTTAAGAGATTGTGAAACTTTCAGGATACTTTCTATCCTGATCCATCTACATAAAAACCTGTCTGCAAATGAGCTGACCAGATTTTGGTCACTTTGTGACATCGTAATATTTTTATTGGCTTGTGCAACCTTTAGCCAATAACCAACCAAGGTAACACCCGCCCACCTTATCACCTGAATCTCCTGCTACAGCACCATTGTGTTTTTTTTTTTTTTTTAAACCATTCACTCCAGAGGGGTGTGGGGAGGGCAGTTAATTTGCATTTAAAGCTACGGATACAGAATCAGCACTTTTGAATCAGGGCTGAAACGAGGGGTTTATGGCATGCTGCAATGATCTGTTTGGTATTTCGAGCCAAACACTTCAGAGACATGTTTATATATATCTGTGACCTAAATATATTGGGGAAAAAGAGTATAATAGGGGACCTTTAAATATTCATTACTTGGAATGCACCAGTCTTTTCTGCAGTATTTTCAAATAACGTTTCAGTCAAAACTACAGGTTTAGCCACCAAATGATAAAATACTACTCCGGTAACATTTCAAGTTCACTACACTACAGGATTATTGAAAGTATCCATGTGGGAAATCAGACAGTGGAACTGCTCAAACTGCAAAACCAAAAACTTGTACCTGCCAGAAATCAATTTGATCACCCAAGGGCCAGTTCATTGATCTTTCAGGCAATTAATCAGGCTTGGTGACCCCTGCTTAAACTAAATATCAAACCATAACTGATACGGAAGAAATTGTGACAGAAATCTAAATTAAAGTGCCTAATCCTACATCACAGGTTTAGAGGGTCTCTGGCTTTGGAATATGTTTTTTCATGTATTGAATATTGATTGGAAAGCCATAGAGTAAACATAAACTGGGTAATACTCTACTTCTTTAACTGCTGCTTGTGTTAGCACATGTGCAGTTACCACTCATGATCCCTGTCACAGCTGCAAGGACAGTGCAACTTGATGTGTGTGTGTGTGTGTGTGTGTGTGTGTGTGTGTGTGTGTGTGTGTGTGTGTGTGTGTGTGTGTGTGTGTGTGTGTGTGTGTGTGTGTGTGTGTGTGTGTGTGTGTGTGTGTGTGTGTGTGTGTGTGTGTGTGTGTGTGTGTGCTGTATCTCTTATTTGTGTGTCAAAGCATGTATTTGATTCTGCAAAAGCACTGCAGGGGGATGTTCCCCCCCCCCAGGGGCCAGCGGAGGGCCCGAGGGCTGGAGTTGACAACACTGATAACCAAGATTAGCTGTTCAACCGATGCATAAACACACACAAACACACAGTGGCGTGCACACATGCATGAGACGTGCAGCACAGTGTGAGTTTCAGAGAGGTGGAGGGAGAAACAGATGTCACATTGAAGCTGGGAGGAGGCCTCTTTTAAGCCTCAAGGAAAACTGGCGAAACACAGACACACAACATAGTCTGCATGGCTCTCCATCTCTGTCTCCCTTTTGATGTCAACATGAGGCAAGCCGAGAAGTGAATAAAAAATGTATTATATACTGAACTACTGAAACCAGACCGGTAGAATACTGATAGCTCTAAATAGAGTGGTGCAGTGATGACAGATTGTTGTAGGCCAACTCGAAGTTAGCATCGCCAGGGCTTCCTCTCAAAAAAGCAATAGGATTTTGGAATATTGCAGAGTTAAGTTGGCAATCACACGTTTATGATACTTGCATGTTTTGTTCGGCAGTATAATCCCACATATTCAGAAATCTAATTCTTCATTGTCAAGCAGAAGCCTTATTTTCCTAAAAGTGATGAGTATATCCAATACCAAGCAAGAGCAAAGGGGTTATGTGCTCTATGACAAGACAGGTACCAATCCAATTCAAAACCAAAATGTGTGTCCCTCTCTGCTTACCTTCCTAAGCAAGTTGCAGATCCTCTCAATGTTCCGCAGCCTCTCCCTCTGTGAGGAGACAGAAAAGATACGATTGCAATTCACTAGGTTTCACAGAACATCTTCTTACTCATGACCAAATCAATTCATTATGATGACATTGGGTGAAAGATGCAACTAAAACATTACAATTCATGAACTGAAATATTGTGAAAGGGTTGAAATAAGACGAGAAAAAGAAAAGCAGACCGGACAAAGCCTGTCAATAACAAGGTAGCCCCGCCCTAAAGGATACACTGGTTAACCGTTTATTTTACTCTAAATCAAATCCTAATAAAACTAACTAACATCATAGTGTATTAAGGAAGACTTGAAAGTAGCAATTAACAATGAGAATCAATTTATGTTAACAATGTTTACTGAGAAAGTTATGAGTTGGGTCATTTCTCCTTGACTTCTATAAAACTGTAAGTCGTAAACCAAGGATAGGTGCACTGTTTCAAGGTTCAGTGAACACATACTGGACATTGAACACAAACACAACTCAAAGACAACTGGAACTTAAATATATGTAACTGTTCCTCATAAAAGTGAATGGAATGCACACTTGATGCGAGCAAAGCATTATAGTTTTTTTTTTTTTAATGGTGCATAAAAAAGATGCATGTATTGGTGATGCATTTAAGGTGTCTTGGGGTCGATACATTTAAGATCATGTGTAATCATCCCCTGGTTTGTAAGGGTCATGTATGACTTTCCTCATATCACTTTAATGTGTTTTGAAAGGTGTGACAAGTGAAGACCTCACTGGACCAGCTTAGGAGGTCATTACATTTAGTTTGTATTCCACATATGTGGTTTGACAGCAGGAAGTTAACGTATAAGAAATGTGGAGGATTTAGAGTGCATTTGCCCTCAAGTCACTTTAGTTATCATTGTGTTTATATAAGTTTCTATAATATATTTGAGTGTTCTCAGCTTGTGTTAAAAGCTGTGAAATGCTTAAATCAGCACCTTCCACAATGCTGACTCTAACAGCCGCCACTTCACCAAAGCTTTTAACATCATCATCAAATATTAACTAATTCCTATAGCGACGCATTCAGGTCTTGACTTGGCTCCACAGGGGGCGATGCATAACTCTGGCTGCTTATAAATCATACATTGATCTGAGCGTCCTGCTGTTTGTGAGCAGTCAGTTTGACTTTATTTCTGCTTCTAATAAGCAGGCTGCAAACGTCAACAACTGTGGCACCACGGGAACGACAAAGTGTATACAAAAATGCCCACACAGAACATTAAAGAGTGTGTGTGTGAGCGAGTGTGTGGCACAAGGAGAGAGCTGTGATGTAGACAATGACTGTATGTACAATGTACACACAGACTGGTTTTTATTTGCATTGGGGACCAACTTTCTGAACAACACTTGAGGGGACTACCCTTACTAGAGGTCCTAGAGGCATGAACAAAAAATACACATGCGCCCAACCACAACTGGCAGTCATACTTAAAACACACAGTAGCCATGATCAATTATTTTAACTCACTGTATGGACAGTGAGGCCCCCTACCTTGGCAACAGCGTCATACCCAAAGACGGAGAACACTATACATGTATTTTTGACTTGGCAAGCTAGCCCTACCATAGATAGAGCAACTTTTTTTATTTTTCTTGTCACTTTTATTAACTATGTTTGAGCAGTGGATTTGATGTTTTCTGTGACAATGGTCCTAAATGACTGTATACTAGCATCACAGCAGACAAAGTCAGCAGGTGCCTGGTAAACCAACTGGAACATAACGTCACTAAAGAGCAAAATAACCAAAAGAACTTGGTAAAGAACAAAGCAAAGGAGTAAATATTCGAATTTCTGGTCAGATTGGCAGAAACAAATAAATACATACATGAATATGCAATTCCCAGCCTGTCCTCCTACAAAAAACGACCAAATAGGTTGATTGTTCAGCAGCTTATTACGACCCATAGTTACGTTTTAAAGTCTAGTGGTTGATTGCAAACGCTCCGGAGGGTCGTTTATTCACAAATAACCCTCTCTGGAAAATCCTGAATTGTGGAATAATTTGGCCATTAAAATGCTTTTTGATTAGATTTCTAGCAAGAAGTGTATATTATACTTTTAGAATGTATGGTTTAATATCTTCTTTTTTTTTACTCTCAACCTTTTTTTGACAGAACAAACATGATCAATAATTTAAATATGGAAATACATTTCGTTTTTATTATTCCATATTATCCTTGGTGTTTTTCAGTGAAAAACGCCAAGGATAATATTGTAATAAATGGCTGTAACTTGCTCAGGGAACATAACATGCAGATTCAATTTAATTTGGAAGCTTAAAACATCTAAATGCAGCTTTATAAATAATAAAAAAGAAAATTCCTATGATCCTGGCGGAGTAAACAGTAAAAAAACACAACATTTGTACTGGCGTTTTTGAAAAGTGCTGGTAAATTCAGCTATTATCACACAGTTAAGGTAAAATGTGGACTTGAATTAACCAGACTTGAACTTGAGGTTCTCCTGAATCAAATGAGGTAAGGCACTTGATGCTGACTGCTAGAAAAGGTTAGAAAAGGTTAGAAGAAACCAATAAATACAGGAGAGTCAGGCAGGCGAAAATTCCGTCTAGGTCTTTAAGGGTTAACAAGGATAAACTGATGTTTTTTAGTGGATGAGTACTGCAGATATCACTGTGTAATCATGTGACAGTGAGGGGAATACAGTTTTATTATGAAAACTTCGAGACTGGAAAAACAGTTTTCACCCCGTGAGGGTTGACGCTAACTTTACATGGACGCTGCCGTTACACGTTCTCCTGGCGAGACCTCAAATCATCTTCATAATATCTATCAAACTATAGATCCCACACATCCACTGGACGTGGATTCTAAAAGTACAATATACACTTCTCGCTAGAAATCTAATCAAAAAGCATTTTAATGGCCAAACTATTCCACAATTTAGGATTTTCCAGAGAGGGTTATTTGTGAATAAACGACCCACCGGAGCGTTTGCAGTCAACGGGAGCACTAGAGGTCGAAAACTTTAAAACGATTATAGGTCGTAATAAGCGCTTGAACAATCGACCAATTTGGTCGTATGAGTTGGAGGACTTGTTGGCAATTCCGTAAGTAGGCTAGTGTATGTCAGGAAAACAAATCTGCAGCCCTAAGTAGCAAAAAAAGAAATGAATACTGCTTTTATGCACACAAAATATAAGCGTGGTATCACATTTATTGTCCAATTCTTGGAAAGTAATTGTGTGTGTGTGTGTTTGATTTGTTTGCATTACTTGCCAACTACAATATCACGACTCTGGCTCTCATCTCCTGGAAATACCTCATGGGACGTTACCTCATGTAACAACGGAAGGAAGCGTGGGAAAAAATGTGGAAGAATATATGCCATCGCCTTTTATTATTTCAAATGTCTCAAAGTGAAAGAAAAAGCCAATTCATTTGAAAAAAGTTAGACTTTGAAGTGCAATGTACGGTGGCAGCATGACAGGCACAGAAGGGAATTAATTATTGGAAGGAGTAACGGCAGGATAGTGTGGTTGAGTTAAAACGTGTATTCATAGTGGTATTTTAAAGATTGCTGCTGCGCATACAGGAAGTCTTTCAAGTTCTTCCAAACGCATAATTGTAAACCTCCCTCTGCCCTTGATATGACCTCATTCTACACCTCCTGCACACACCCTTATCCATATACAAACATGCACATGAAAGGCCCAGCCAATTATCTCCACTGCTAATGTCTATTTCCTGTTGAGACCACGCACCTTATCAAGAGATGAGCGAACTCACATCCCCCCTCTCCTTCATATCCTGCCGGGTTTGAACGAGGACACGTAAATATATTCGGCTCAAACAGCATTGTGTGTCTGTGTTTGTCAGTATGTGTGTGTGCACGAACCCGCAACTGTCTACTCATTACCAAGCAATTATGCTGATGTCTCTTTGAAATGTTACTTAGCGAGAATTTGCTTGACAAGCGAGAGCAGCGCGGAAGTATAAACAAGAGTTGGAGGAAGGGGAGATGGGAAGTTGAAGGGTGTAGGGCATTACATTGACCTTTAAATAATTATGAAGACCAATTAAGAGAATATTTTCAAACAGGAAGTGTACGTGGTACGTTTAATTTGGCATTTGACCCCTAAAGGTGGAGTGAAAGAGGGTGTTTGTAATGCTAATGTTCCACTTGTATCAAGTATGTTTAAATGCTGTGGGATAAATGTCCCCCCCTGTCTCAAGTAAGACTTGAACCTAAGCGGGGTAGACAGGCGTGGAGCGGCGAGGGAGATGGAGTGATACGGTGAATGAGGAGTTGATTTAAACGTTGTGAAAGGCTACAGAAGCTGTCACCACTTGGACTCAGTTCCATAGTGGGATGCATACCAATCCCCCATGCTAATGAAAACACTAAAATTCACATAAAAAAAGGCAAGACACTTCACCCGAATTTGCTCCTGTGGGTATTGTCCACAGTACATGTATAATATCAATGTGTACTTGTAAAAGCGCCTCGATGACTTTGAGGTGTGAAGATGGGCGGTGTGGCCCGCCGGCGCTGCGTCTATAAAGCCGTTGTGTCCTTGGGCAATACACTTCACCTGAACTTGCTCCTGTGGGTATTACACATTATTATATGTATGTATGATCTGTATGTGTAATGTGTATTTGTAAAGCGCTTTGAGAGTCATTGATAAAGCGCTATAATAAATATAAGGATTATTTATAAAAAAAGGTAAAAAACAAACAAACATCAGACTCTTTCCTTCATCTCCATCCTGAGTTATCACTCTGATTTAGACTCAGATATAATAATTGCTTCTGCTTATAGCTTTATCCCTTCATAATGAATGTACTGTGAGAGTGAACATGCTCACTGGAAACTGTTTGTATTCAAGCAAATATATGGCATTAGCATGTGAAATACAAATCCTGACCACACAGAACACCAATAAAGACAAATTCATCACAGTACATATTTCTTTATATGTTTCAATGTTAGGGGAGTGGCATGTGTGAAATCATGTACAGATAG